TGCTAGGCAAGTGGGCTACCACTGAGCCCGAGCCCCAGCCCCAGCCTTGTATATATACTTTAGCTATACTATAAGTAGTTGGGTTGCATGAGGTGGTTAAAAAGGCCAAAGATAGGGCTGGTGATATAGCTCAGTTGGTATAGTGCTTGCTTTGCATGCATAAGGCCCAGCGTTCAATCCCCAGCACTACACACACACACACACACACACACACACACACAGACACACACAAGAGGCCAAAGATAAAAATGGCCCCCCCCCTTTATTTGTATATGAAGTTGCTCTTTATTTTTTTGGCCTGTTTGATGTATGTGTGAAATAATGTTGTCCAATAATAAATCAGAATTTTATTTTGCTGATTTGTTCTAACAAAGGAAAAAGAAAATTTTAAATACAAAAAATATACTCATCAGCAACAACAGCCTTTAATCTTTAATACTAAGAGTAAGAGTAGATCAAGCCAGGTGCGGTGGCGCATACTTGTAATCCCAGCAGCTTGGGAGGCTGAGGCAGGAAGATTTCCAGTTCAAAGCCAGCCTCAGCAAAAGCGAGGTGCTAAGCAACTCACTGAGACCCTGTCTCTAAATAAAATATAAAACAGGACTGGGGATCTGGCTCAGTGGTTGAGTGCCCCTGAGTTCAACCCCAGTACCAAAAAAAAAAAAAAAGAGTAGATCAAGAACTATGAATGAGGAAAAAATAATAGTAAAATAATGTGGTTGGAAATAGAAGAAGGTATAAGGCTGGGGATTATATTCTGGAAGTATTTAAATTAACGCCATTTACATTATTACATTTACCAGGACCCAGTACCACAACAGAAACAGAAACAATCGCCAAATATGAAATAATGGATGGTGCACCAGTAAAAGGTAACACTCTTCCCATTTACTTCTGTGTACTGCAAACAGAAGTGTTTTGGTCAGTTTAGTTTGTGAATATTCATTCATTGTAAAAGTATTTATGAATTTCTTTTTCCCACGTTTTTGTTGTTGCATTATAATTGTACATACTAACGGGATTTCTTGTTATATTTATGAATTCTTAAAATGGTTCTTATGATGATTTTTTATTTTTAAGGATCTCTGTATATCTGCTGAGAAGACTAATAATACTTCCTAGTCGGAAATAAATTTGGTTAAATATTTCACTCAGTTCAAATTTAGAATTCAGAAGAGACAATTTTGTGCATCTCCTTTCTGGTTCTGAATTTGTAATTTTTTATTGTTTTCTGTTATAATAGTTCATCTTTGTATATCTTTTTATTCTCACATTGACCATAAGATGCAGTATAACTGAGCATTAATTCCTGTCAGATTTTGGAGTTGTCATAGTCTCCAAAAAAAAAAAAGAGCACTTAGTTCCCTAACTAGATAACCTTTAGTGTCTGAGACAATGAAACCAGTACTTATCAACCTCCTGAGCTGATTTCAGGTGTGCACCACCACATTCAGCTCTAAAACTTACTTTTTATATGAAGTATTTATCATAAAACTTGTTCTTATTTGAAAATCAGCCTTTGGTGAGTTTTGAATGAAGATTTATATAACAGAAAACTTAAATCATAGTTTAATAGTAATTTAGAAGAGAAAGTTCACTCCATTAAGGTGGCCATAATGCTGTATAATTCAACATATGTAATTTATAATTTTAAAATAAGTTACATGATATTTGCAATTTCCAAATCAGTTGCACGTTATGGCACTACTGGAGAAAGTGTTTTGTTTCCCACAGGCATTCATTTGAAAGACTGTTGTATGTGTAGGTTTAAAAAAAAAAATTTATGTCTGAATTTTTTTCACTTTGGAATTACTTCAAAAAGTAGCTACCATTTATGGAGTGCAGGTTGTGGATGAGGCATTGCAGGTGAGGTGCTCTAAAGCTCCCTACCACTGTTCAAGTTAGGTGCTTATATCCTGTATTTTACACCTTGAAATTAAGGTGCCAAGGTTCAAAACTATACTAAAGGTGGGGGAGCTAATCATTACAGAGGAGAGGTTTGAACCTAGACCTTTTTGACTCTAAAGCCCATATGTTTGTACTTAGGTTATACAACATTACTTGCAAAATTTCACCAACCATACATTTTTATGAAGTGATGGGTTTTATACCTTTCAACAAATAAATGTGCATAAAAAATACTACATAAAATATTAAAAAGAGAACATGCAAATAATTACTGTCCTTAGGAAAACAGAAGCCATGTGAACTTTTTGGTAATGAAGGCATGTTGTCATTCTGTACATGTTTGTTTTAGATGGATGAGTAAAAAGTTTTTAACATTGTAYACATGGTTAGAAATTAGGTAAACTTGTGAAAGTAGAAAAATAAACTAAACTACTGGCTGGCACTGTTGTAAAGTCTATGTATTTTACCCACATAGCTCTTATAAATTCCCTATTGGAGGAGTATTGCTTGTCTTCATTTTATAGTGAGGAATTCAAAACAGAATAAGTCCCCAAAGCCATGGTCTTATAGCCAGTAAGTGGTGGAACTGAAATTTGACATAGGCATTTTGACTCTAGAGCACTGATTCTCATCAAGGGGCAACTTTGTCCTCCAAGTGACATTTGGTATTGTCTGGAGACATTTTTAGCTGTCATAGTTGGGGAGTGCTCCTGGCTTCTGGTGGGTAGAGGTCAAGGATGCTGCCAAGTGCATAGGACCTTCCCCATAACAACCAATTATCCAGCCCAAAATGTCAGTAGTGCCTATTGCTGCATCTCATGAGGAAGAGGAATTGAAGCATTAGTGTCTCCCCTGTAATGCTTAGTCCTAGGTTTTATGTGACTAATCATCTTTTAGAATTAAACGGAAATTGCTTTTATTTCAGGTGAATCCATTCCAATAAGACTGTTTTTAGCAGGCTATGATCCAACACCAACAATGAGAGATGTGAACAAAAAATTTTCAGTAAGGTACTTCTTGAATCTAGTGCTTGTTGATGAGGAAGACAGAAGGTACTTCAAGCAGCAGGTATGGTTCCACCCACGCTAGTTATTTTAAATGTAAAATCACCGAGAAAGCACTCTCTTTTCTAAGCATCATACAGGGCAGGTCGGGTGGGGGAGGTTCTAAGTAATTTAAAATACTGAGGGTATAATAAAGAGTAGGTATTGTGATAGACCTCTCCCCAGTCATTCTGTAGGATTCTGAAATGAACTGTAATTTTTCAAGACTTTTATTTTTTTCTCTTAAAAAGCTTTTTTTTTTTTTTTTTTTTTAAAGTAGAAACAATATAGCAGTACTTGCTGTTCAAAAAAATTCAAGCAATTAAGAACAAAGAAGGTGGGGCTGAGGCTGTTGCTCAGTGGTAGAGCATTTGCCTAGCATGTGTGAGGCACTGAGTTTGATCCTTGGCACCACATAAAAATAAATAAAATAAAGGTATTGTGTCCATCAACAAATGGAAAAAAAAAAAGAACAAGGAAGTAAAGGCCAACAAAATTCCTTTTAAAAAATCAATAGTTTCTTGAATATTTTTCTCATCAATTATTATAGATCTCCATGGTCACTTTTTTTTTTTTTTGGTGGTGGTGGTACTGCAGACTGAACTCATGGCTTTACCTGGGCTTAGACAAGTACTCTACTACCTAGCTACATCCTAGCCCTTTATTTATTTTAAAGAGAGAAAGAGAGATTTTTAAATATTTATTTTTCAGTTTTCGGTGGACACAACATCTTTATTTTATTTTTATATGGTGCTGAGGATCAAACCCAGTGCCCCTGCGCGTTACCGCTTGAGCCACATCCCCAGCCCCCCTAGCCCTTTATTTTAAGATAGGGTTTTGCTAAGTTGCTTAGGCTAATCTTGAACTTTTGATCCTCCTGTCTCAGCCTTTTGCACCTAGGTTGTTGTATTTTTTTGTTGTTGTTGTAGTTGTTATTTTGGTGCTGGGGATTGAACCCAGAGGCCCATAACTACTGAGCCATATCCCCAGCCCATTTTATTTTTTATTTTGAGACAGAGACTGGTAAGTTGCTTAGGGCCTTGCCAAGTTGCTGAGACTGGCTTTGAAGTTGTGATCCTCCTGCCTCAGTCTCCTGAGCCACTGGGATTACAGGCATACGCCACCGCACCCAGGATTGTTTCTTAATGAAGGCTACATTTGAAGGATTTGGGGGTTTTCATTTTTCCCTTATTAAGCAGTTTTGTTACAAATGTACACGTGTTGACTCAGCCCTGATACTTCTTTTTTTTTTTGGTATTGGAGATTGAATCTAGGGGTGCTTAACTACTGAGCCACATCCCAGCCCTTTATTTTATTTAGAGACAGGCTTTCCCTAAGTTGCTGAGGCTGGCTTTAAACTCGTGATCCTATTGCCTTAACCTCCTGAGCCACTGGGATTTCAGGTGTGCACCACCACATTCAGCTCTAAAACTTACTTTTTATATGAAGTATCTATCATAAAACTTGTTCTTATTTGAAAATCAGCCTTTGGTGAGTTTTGAATGAAGATTTATATAACAGAAAACTTAAATCAGTTAAATAGTAATTTAGAAGTGAAAGTTCACTCCATTAAGGTGGCCATAGTGCTGTATAATTCAACGTATGTAATTTATAATTTTAAAATAAGTTACATGACATTTGGAATTTCCAAATCAGTTGCACRTTATGGCACTATTGGAGGAAGTGTTTTGTTTCCCACAGGCATTCATTTGGAAGGCTGTTTTATGTGTTGGTTTAAAAAAACAAAAAAACACTAGCTAGTCATCACTTGATGAAGGAGATTATGTTAGGAATTGGTTAGAGTTAGGATTTAGGCAGAGTAACAAGGATTTGATTATGTAAGGGAACTGCTAGGACATTTGGCGTGCATTACAGGTAGAGAGTGATTGATTTTGACTGGTAGGGGGAAAAGCATGTATGGAGGCACGCMGGTCGTGTTTTAGATTTAGGRTATGGAGGGCCCTGAATATGTTTGGAGATTTATCCTGAGGCACTGATAACTATTGAAGAGTAATTCAAACAATGTTTTATAAGATTAATCTGGTAGTGATATGAAGGATGAATTAGAAAGGGGTCTCAGGCAAGAGCCATCTATGAGGAAGTTGGTTTAGTATTTAAGGTTGAAATGACAAAGAGTTTGAACTTGGATGAGGGCAGTGTAACAAAAAGCCACAGGACAGATTTTAGGACTTTCTTTAAAGCAGTAATAGCCAGGACTTTGTTCCAGATTTGACTGGCAATATTGTGCCTGGTGCTGGTTCAGGGARCAGGGAGGCATAAGATACAGTCCAGGATTGAAATCAGAAGAAAGTGGCTTAGTCAGGAAAGATTTTATTTATTTATTTTTTAAATTTACGTATGTGGTGCTGGGGATCAAATCCAGGGCCTTGTGCATGCAAGGCAAGCATTCTACCAATTGAGCTGCATCCCCAGCCCAGTCAGGAAAGATTTTGTAGAGAGAAATTTAATTGTGTTAAAATTGAAGTAGCAGTCAGTATTTCCATGGTGAAAATTGAAGACATAATGGAAAACATTAATTTGTTGCTATCTTGCACTTACTTTTGTAGGAAATCATCTTATGGAGAAAAGCTCCTGAAAAACTGAGGAAACAGAGAACAAACTTTCACCAGCGATTTGAGTCTCCAGAGTCACAGGCATCTGCTGAACAGCCTGAAATGTGAACTGAAAAGAAGGAAAAAAAAMCAAAACTGTAACTGTTGAAATTAAGTTCAGCAGGTTAAAGATGGTTGCAGCTTGTAGGGGCGGGGTGGGGGGAAGCCAAAACTCCATGCATAACAGTCTTCCTTTATCTTACAGTGCTGCATTTACTTTACAGTATAACTAAATGTATGTACCTACATTTTACAAAGTGCTTTCTTTGAGACACTGGAGATTTCTTAGGCTGCCCTTATTTTTTTTTTTTTTTTTAACTGCACACTTTGATGATGAGTACTCAGATATGCATCAGCATAAACATTAAAGATTTTCATGCAGGTAGGCTGGGATTTGTAATTTTGCTTTCTTTCTACATAATGTTGATTATAAATCTTTTTCTCCTTTTTTTCTTTTGTGCTAATGATTACCTCTTACTCTCTCCATGCAAAAAATTAAATATTTTGTGTTCAAATAAAACTAGAAAACCCAATTAGCCCTTACATCCTGCAAAGACTTAAAATATAGCATCTCGGTATTTTTGAGAATTCCATTTGTTTTTATGTATGTATTTGAGAAATGTATATGAATTTTTTCATTGTAGGTGTTTCTGGGTCTGCCATTTCATGGCTTCTTGTGTTTTATTCTCTTTGAAGTCTTTTATAGTATGAATGTAAAATTTTTTCCCAAGGGATGAGGGAGGTGGCTTTTCATTTTGKCACTTGTGTCCCACTGCCTCATATTAAGTAACCATTTTGCTACAACTTTCCAGCAGTACTACCATATGTGTTCTGCAGTGTGGAGTTGATGTATGTTGGCATTTTGGAACTTGCTAAAACTATATGAATTTTTCCATAAATACTTTGAAACATATGTGTATATATATATATATTTTTAAATTTAAAGAGTCTTTTTGCCACATTTATGCAAATATCATTTTCTTGACTTTACAAATTTGTTCTTTTCACTTTTCAGTGGAAAATTTGGGGGACTCAGGAGGAACTTGTGAAGCATGTAGCTAACCCAGATATGCACAGTTTCATGTTTGTTAAACTGGAGCTTTGGATAGTTCAAACTCCATTAAACTTCACCAGTCTGTTTTAATTTTTTTTTTTTTAAACACTAAAGTCATTTGTTCAACATCTTTTAAAAGAAGGTTGCAGATATCTGATCATATGTATGGGATCTGATCTCAGATACACTAAATGTGGAGCGTGGGAACCAAAACAAAGCCTCCTATGTGAAAACTATTTTCACTTATGGTTCATTGGTTTTTGTACCAATATTTAAAAATACTTCAGTGCAAGTTTTGTCAGTTAACCTTACTTTATGAGTAAGCTAAATAATCCAAATTACATTTCTTTAAACCTGTTTTACTACTATGGCACTTTGATAAAATGGTCAGTAACCAACTTTATTTCCTGGCCAAAGGTTCCATGTACCATGTGCTGGAGCATCTATTTTAAACGGGGGTATCTATGAATGGTAACGTTTTCCTTCATGTAAGTGCCTGTTCAGAGTTTCAAAATTTAAAAATGCCAAATATTTTCATGGTCACTTGCATGTAATAATCTAGAAAATATTCAAAGATTTTGAAAACCAAGTTGTATTTAACCAGCCTCAAATTGTGCAACCATGTATAATAAAGAATTTGAAACAGAAACTGAGCTTGCAGTTTGATTAAAATAGTGTTATTTTCAAAGTCTTCTCATTGTTAGAATTAATGTTAAGGATCGGATCACTCAATAGTTTAGGAAGCTACAATTGGGACAAGTTTTCATAAGTAATACCAGTTTGTTTTACATAGTTACATAAGGCTTTTAATTAAGTTGACTTAAAACACTTGTCATATACAAGATGCTTTTTCACTTTGCTGGAGACTTTTTGTTGCATAACCAACTTGAAAAGTAATCTGAATTCGGTATTTGATAATTTGAGTCCAAAGTGGTCAGTAACTGGGCTTGTGGAGCACACCTGTAATGCCAGCAACTCAGGAAGCTGATTCAGAAGGATCACAAGTTCAAGGCCAGCCTCAGCAATTTAGTGARGCCCTAAGCAACTTAGACCCTGTCTCAAAATAAAAAAAAGGGCTGGTGATATAACTCAGTGGTAGAGCATCAYATGTACTCAAACCCTAGTACCAAAAAAAAAAAAAAGAGAAAAGTGGCCAGCTAGAAATAATAAACTGAAAAAGAAATCTGTGTTTTTAGTAAAGAATACAATGCCTAATAAACAGTTCAGTGATTCTCATTATGGCTGCATGTTAAAATCATCTTAGTAGCTTTTAAAAATAACCATGGTTGCTGGGTACTGTGGTGTACACCTGTAATCCCAGCAGCTCAGGAGGCTAAGGCAGGAGGATCACGAGTTCAAAGCCAGTCTCAGCAATTTATCGAGGCTCTAAGCAACTTAGTTGAGACCCTATCTCTAAATAAAAGATAGAAAAGGACTGGGGATGTGGCTCAGTGATTACGCACCCCTTGGTTCAATCTCTGTTACCAAAATAAATAAATAAACAAACCATGGCCGGATCTCACTGAGACTACTAAAACCAGTACCTCAGAGACTAGGACATTAAAAAAAAAAAAAAAAAAAAGGGTTGAGAAACACTAATTTAGACCTTCAAGTGGTTATTTCCTCTCATTAGTGAAAAATTTTCTTGTTTTGATACAGGTGAGGAACAAACACTTTTCCTCTATACTGTTACACTAAGTGCTTGGAGACTCTGCATTAAATTGACAAAAAAAAAAAAAATACACAAAAGAAAGAACCCATTTTATAACATGAGGGTTCACAAAAATGTGATTCAAAGAAGTGGGTAGGATTTGGGGTTTATTATATGCCATCTTAATAGAGGAAGTGTGGGGAGAAAGGATATTTTAGAAGATAAATGGGTCCTTAGAATACCAAGAGGACAATTTGTGATACTCTATTTTTGGTGTGGTGCCCACTTACTGTCTCTGGGGATAAAACTCAGTTTTCCCTAACTGCTCTTGGGGAAGGGATTTGTGGTAACTAAGTTCTTTTGAGAAGTTCAGCTTTTAAGCAGATTGTGATTTCAGGAATACCAAATGCCTTCTCAAAATATTATTTATGCCTTAGAGGCCTATTCTGGACCCTTTCAATATGGATCAATTCTAATTACAATTTGATAAGTTCTTTGCTTTCCATTTATATTCAATTGAATCTCTTTAGTATGCATAAAGACACCCTCCAGTGACTATACCAGTCAGTATGAGAACTTAATATTTTAAGTTTCAAACCACATATAAAAGCCAAGCATGGTGCCGCACATCTATAATCCCAGTGGCTTGTGAGGCTGAGGCAGGAGGATAGCAAGTTCAGAGCCCCTCAGCAAAAGCAAAGCATTAAGCAAGTCAGTGAGACCCTGTCTCTAAATAAAGCACAAAAGAGGGCTGGGGATGTGGCTCAGTGGTCGAGTGCCCCTGAGTTCAATCCCCATTTACCCCCACCCTGACACACACACACACATAACATTGAGGACAATGTGCATCCTTCAATACAACCCTATTTTTAAGGCTTGAGGTCCTATAAGCATTATTCTATGTCATTTTACCCAAAGTCTTTTAGTGATTGAGTTACATCCAGGATAAAATTGGAATTCTACACTGCAGAACATACCTTCAGCTGCAGTTATGCCAGACTTCTAGGAGACGGCCTACTCCTGCATGCTAAGTTTCAGTAATGCTGTCCTAGCAAATCTTGCCTGACCCCTGTCCTAGCAAATCTTCACCTCCAAGTCAAAGAGTTGTCTTTTTATTCTGCCAAGACATGCTGTGTACCCCTCTGAGACTAAATGACACTTTAAAAAAGACACTTTTTTTTTGTGGTGGTGGGGGGAGTACCTGGGCTTGAACTCAGGGGTACTCAACCACTGAGCCAAGTCCCCAGTCCTATTTTGTATTTTATTTAGAGACAGGATYTCACCGAGTTGATTAGCACCTTGTAGTTGCTGAGGCTACCTGTGAACTTTCGATCCTCCTGCCTCAGCCTCCTGAGGGGCTGGAATTACAGGTGTGCACCACCAAGCCTGGCCTGAAAAGACATTTTGATGTCTTTTTAATGGTTCAAGTCTGTGGATTTTAAGCYTCTTGAGGGCTCATGCTATTTTGTCTTGGTGTACTCTGCTCATCACAATATTTGAATAAATATATGAAGCTTATTTTCTTGCAGATTATAAAATTAAAAGTGCTCACCTTGGGGCTGGGGATGTGGCTCAAGCGGTAGCGCGCTCGCCTGGCATGCGTGTGGCCCGGGTTCGATCCTCAGCACCACATACCAACAAAGATGTTGTGTCCGCCGAGAACTAAAAAATAAATATTAAAAAAGTCTCTCTCTCTCTCTCTCTCCTCTCTCACTCTCTCTTAAAAAAAAAAAAGTGCTCACCTTTAGGAAAAATGTAGGTCCAATGTACAATTAAATTATGGATAAGAACAATTTTTCTTCTCTATTAGAATAAAGAAATGAACTGGGTTTTCTAGCAGTGTTGTCAGGTCCTAAAGAGAAAGCAAGACAGAGCACAGCAGGACCTTGTGGGTACTTTGTAGAACTTCCTGTATAAATTCTACAGACAAATCTGGTGGATGGCCCCCCCTAGGTGTAGGGGAAATGGGCCAAACAGCCTCTAAGACTCCCTTCCTGCTCTAACATACCATGATTCAATCAATAAATCTTAAAAATTCACTTAGGATTATAGGTGTCTAGATCACAAATAGCCTTTGTCTAGGAAAATACTATAAACTTCAAATTACAGAATTTTATAAGCAATATGTGAGGAGATGTTCTTTTGTGAGGTCTTCAATACCTGGTTTTGTTAATACAAAAAGCAGAAAAGAGAAAACTACATTTATTTGTATTCATGCATGTGTTCAGCTCATTTACAAAGAATCTGTTAGTGCATTCTCATTTACGGTACCCTAAGGAATTAAAATTCATAGAATAGTGGGTCTCAAAGCATAAGCCCCTAGACCATCAGAGTTGCATCACCTGGAAATGTTAGAAATGCAAACTCTTAAATCCCAACCTAGGCCTGCTGAATCAGGAATTTCAGAGGTGGGCCCAACAATATTTTTTAAAACAAGCTTTCCTAGATTCTAATGCACSCTAATGTTTGAGAACCACTGGTTTAGAGATACATTCTTAGTTTTAGTGCTATGGTAGAGGCCATACAGCTCCCTATGGCATATTAGAGACGAACCCAATGTGTTTAGACCTGACAGCAAAGGCATAACAGATGTGTATTTCTGGCAGGAATAGAATGGTACCTATGCAGTAGAGAGATGAGGCTAGAAGAGGCATATAGAGAAAGCCACTGAGCTTGAGTGCCCGCCCTGCAAATAAATGGAGTGTGGGCTTTATCTGAACACTTAAATTGAGAATCACTGAAGGATATAAAAAGCCAGATTAGTGTTTTCAAAAGAGCATATGAAGCCTCTGCCAAGTATGGAAGAAAGGTTGACAAGGACATCAGTTATATGATCATTCATTCAATAAGCAAAACATGTATGGAGGTTCTAATGTGTGCTAGGTATTCATTATACATACTTGGTGTTAGGAAATCTCTCTCCAAAGAGAGTGGCATGTTTCTGTTTCATAAAGGCAAAAGTTTCATGCTTTTTTAATTTAATATTTACAGTAGAATTCCATGAATGAAATGAAGAGGAAACCCTGTATGTATTATAAAATTTTGGCTACACTTTTATAAACTGCAAGGAGGTACAAACAAAGTTATTATTGGACTAGTCTGGCCCAATAATTAGTATCCTGTTCCTGTCCAAAAAGTCCAATGGTTTGGAATGACACTATAACAACAACCGCACCCCCCTTCAACCCCACAAAAAAAATGCCAAAAGCCATGCAGTATTCATCCGTAAGTATAACTGAACATTACTCCCCCTCTGGAGTATTTCCACTAGTGTTAGTAKGTTGTGGTGAGAATATGTACTTACAAGCCAAAAAGATTTAGATTAGCATCTGACTCTGCCACTTAATAAACTATTTTGGGGGCAGGTTACTACCCTAATGAATTCTATCTGTAAAACTGGTGGCAGTATCTCTAAATGGTTGTCAGGAATATGAATAGACTTAAAGGGAACATCATCACTCTGGCTTCAGTTGTGTTTTAAATGTTAGTTTTCGGATTTAAACGTTACGTAAGCCTCATTTTTGGTTTCCATACCTAATAATGCAATTTTAAAATGCCTTTTTCTATTTCCCTTCCCCTTTTCTACAGGGGACTGAACCCAGCCAGGGGTGCTTAACCCGTGAACCACATCCCCAGCATTTTTTTTTTTTTTTTTTTGAGACAGGGTCTCACTCAAGTTGGGTAGGGCCTCGCTAAATTGCTGAGGCTGGCTTTGAATTCCCGGTCCTCCTGCCTCAGCCTCCCGAGCCGCAGTATCTCAACGTTATATGGGAGGTGAAACATTTTAACAACTTGTTTTGAGCTACTGTTGCAGCCTCATGAGAAGACAGTATCCAGTTAACACAAATGAAACTAAACTTTGGCCCTGTGCGGCATACRCCTCTGCTATGTGGTTGTGACACACCAGATACTAGGATATATATACAGCTTGCAGGGAGGCACCAGTTGCTGTACTTACACGCGTGTCATACAGGGKCTTTACCTATTACAGTACAACCAAACTTCTCCGCAATCCTTCTGAACAGCGGGTCAAGTTATATTCTCCAGCGTTAATTGCCCTATTAGGAAACGAAGATTAACAATGCAATAAACTTTGGGGAAATGCTCTTTAGTGTACGAGTCTGCAGGACACGCTCGTGCACGCTCAGCATCCTCCTACCCACGTGCTTCTGGAGCTTGAGGACCCAACCGACCTGTTTGCSTCACGTGACCCAGCTGGCAGGCCCCCGCCTCCCATCTGTGACATCCACAATGATGCCTGATTATGTCCCCTTCTTGGGCAAAGCTGCTCCCGACTGCCAAGGAAAGAGAGAAAGTACAAGCATCTTGATGGTTTTCCCCGCAGCGCTCCTCCCTCCCTGAAGAGCGATCCTACGGAATCCCTTTCCTTTACTGATCAGGCCTTACCTCGGGCAGCTCCCCGCTCGGTCTGGGTCTTTCCGGACCGCAGGCGCTGGCAGCTCGCGTCATTGCCCGTCGCCGTGTCGGGGGGCTGCTCAGGCTCCCCGGAGCCCGCGGCCTCGATGTCCTTCCCCCGGTGTGCCCTGCTGTGGGCTCTGCTCCCGGCGGGGCGCCAGGCTGGTCACCGGGCGGCCGCCTGCTCTGCGTTTCGTGCCCACTGCGGGCCCTCCCCTGCGGTTCTGGGGCGCGTTCCTGCCCTTGCCGCCTCGTCTGCCTCCGGTGGCTCCAAAGCCCCGAACACGTCTTTGTTCGTGCCGCTGACGGTGAAACCTCAGGGCCCCAGCGCCGATGGCGACGTCGGGGCCGAGCTCACGCGGCCTCTGGACAAGAGTGAGTGCGGGAGCCAGCGAAGGCGGCGGGCGATGTCTGCCGGGCCCTGGCGGCCCGGGGGCAGCTGTCCCTCTTCCCCTTGGTGACCCGAGTCCCCTCAGGGTTGTCGTTGTGCCTGGCAGTTTCTGCCTCCCTCGCTGCTTTGAGAGTCCTCTGACTCTTGGGATTGTGTCTAATTCATCCTGAACGGTCCGCCCAGAGTGATCTTTTCCCCTTTGGCCTCCCTCTTCTCCGACTGGTTTAAAACCTCTTGTATTGACGTCTTGGCTCCCTCCGCCCCCCGCCGGGTGTCTTTCTCTGTTCCTCCCCTGCCACAGAACTATTGCCTTCGAGATGGTGCAAAGGTATGAGCAATGAAAAGCCAGAGGAGGAGTTCTTTCAGGATTCTTTGTCATTGGGCGAGGTCGCAGTGTTGGGCTGCATGGAGGGTGAAGGGAGGAACCAGACAGATTCTGATAATCTGCTGTCATACAAGACGCAGCTTGATAAAGGGGTCCTCGCTAAAAGAGGGACCATAATCATCCAGGAGCCAGAGAGAAAGTAAAAGTGTAGCATCAGTGAGTGGCAGTAGGTTTTGTCACCAAAACTAATTTYGATGGATTTGACAGCGAGATCTGTAAATATTTTCGAGGGGAGTTTAGCRTTATATAGCCGCACTTTGGCTTTTGGCTGATGAAGAAGGTGAGAGGTTTCCTCTGACCAAGGAGATCCAGGGGATGCCACAACTCTGCTGGGCACTAGCTTTCCAGACTGTCTTCAGGGAGTTACTCCGACCAGCAACGGTGCATCCACTATTGTAATTTGAGAATACAAATTTCAGCCGGATGCAGTGCACACTGTAATCCCAGGGACTCCGGAGGCTGAGGCGGAAAAATCTCAAGTTTGAGACCAGCCTCAGCAATTTAGCCAGGTCCCCAGCAACTTAGTGAKAACGACTCAAAATTTATAAAAGGTGGGGATGTAGATCAGTGGTAAAGCACCCTGAGTTCAATCCTCAGTACCAAATAAATAAAACTAAAAGTAAAATATGGATTATAGTATGCTTTGAGTCAAATCTTGTTTTTCAGAGCAGTATAGTATATGATGCACCTAATGTCTATGTTATTTTTATTTCTTTATTTTTCCTTTTTTTTTTTTTTTTGAGACAGTTTTATTATGTTGCCCAGGAGGCCTCAAACTTCTGGGTTCAAGTGATCCTCCTGCCTTGTTGGCTCAGTAGTCCTCTGGCGCTGGGACTTCAAGCATATACCACCAGGCCAGTGCTCAGCAAGGCCTTTCACTTTGCTTGGAGTTGGGGTCTATATCGTTTTAACAACAATTTTAATAATGTAATTGTATTATTTCTGCTTATTTTTAAATTGTAAAAACATAACATTTAACATCTTAATAATTCTTATGTGTATAGTTTAGTCATGTTAAGTTCATTCACATGYGAATGACCTCTAGGGCATTTTCATCTTGTAAAATTGAAACTCAGACAACAGTTAACCCATTAAACAACAATTTCCCATTTACTGAAGGCATACAGTAATTTGTGTGAGGTAATTTGGCTAACTTTTTTATATTCAAATATTGATACATTTCCATCTCTTTTGCTTGCTTCTTATCTGATAAGTTGATGTACTACTTCAAGGTTCTGTTCCACATCATTTTGCCATACTTCATACTTTTGCTATTAAGTGTCTCATTTTCTCCCTCTCCCCTAAAATCAGTACTYCTCTCCCCTAAAATCAGTACTCCTTTCTGACCATTGTCTCCGACATGGACCTCTCATTCATCCTTGATTTATATAGCTGCCTACCAGGTGGCTCCACTCAGATTGCTTACTCCTTATACTAGCATGTTCAAGACCTGCTCCTTGTCCAGGTGCTAAGATAAACAACTTGGTGGATTTGATTCTTCCCATTCCTCACCTCCCATATTTAACAGAAGGTCCAGTTGACAAGTCTTGTTGATTCTGTCTGATAAATATTGAGTCCATTCACTTCTTCTTCACTGAAGCCAACTTAAATTTCTAGCTTCTATCTTGGACTGGACCATTGAAATAACTCCTTACATGTCTCCTGGAATACCTTTGATCTCTCTATTCTATATTCTTTTTTTGGTACTAGGATTGAACCCAGGGGTCCTTAACCTCTGAGCCACATCCCCAGCCCTTTTTTGTATTTTGTTTAGAACAGGGTTTCACTGAGTTGCCTAGGGCCTCACTAAGTTGCTGAGGCTGGCGTTGAACTCTCGGTCCTCCTGCCTCAAGTCTCCCATGCTGCTGGGATTATAGGTGTGCACCACCATGCCTGGCTTCTAGTCTATTTTCTGCCTGCAATCAGAATGTTCTTTTAAAAAGATTGAACCTGTTGCTTTTCTGCTAAAAAAATTGTATTATATTTTTTCATTGTCTGTAATTTAAAAGAGTCCCCAAGTCTTAATATGGCTGGTAAGACCCTGTCTGACCTGGCCTCTCTCTCAGCTTCATTGTCTCCCACTTTCCATCCTTAAGCCATATGTATGACATGTGCCTCTGCTCCAGGTGTACGAAACATACTACTGCGTCTGCTTGAGTACCCCTGTACTGCCTTCACTTCAGAGTTAAAAACAAAAAAACAAAAACTTTTTTGTAGTTGTAGATGGTCATCATGCCTTTATTTTATTTGTTTATTTTTATTCTGTGCTAAGGATTGAACCCAGTGCTTCACACATGTTAGACAAGCACTCTGCCACTGAGCTCCAGTCCCAGTCAGAATTTAACTTGAGAAACAGTTGTATATAGTTATGGTGTATGATGTGATATTTTGATATGTTTGTGTCATAGAATGATTAAATCAAGCTAATTAACAAATTCTTTACATACTTTTTAAAAAGAAAAGCATAAAAGATTTATTTAGTGAAATTGAATTGACACTCCAAGAGGCATGGAGCAGACCTCTTCCAGGAGAGGAAATGGCCCACACTTATTTTTTATGTGTGGTGATGACATTTAAAATCTACTCTTAGCAATTTTGAAACATATAATAACATTTATTATAGTTTCCTGTCTGGATAATAGATTGCTAAAACTTACTCCTTCTGTGTGTCTGAAATTTTGTACCCTTTGGCCAATGTCTTCACTTTCACCTTCAACCTACCCTGCCATTCCACTCTCTACTTCTCTGGCTTGGCTTCCTTAGGTTTCATGTTGTTTCAAATAACAATTTCATTTTTAGGGCTGAATAATGTTTGTCATATGTGTGTGTGTGTGTATTTATATATATATATATGCATTACACATATATGTTTATATAACTACATAAAGGTATATGACTATATACAACTATATGTGTATATGTATATACGCACACACTTATGTACATAAATATAAATAGTTGTATATAGTTATGTACAATGGGATGGTTTTTGTTGTTTTGTTTGTTTTATTGAGAGAGACAGCGAGAGAGAGAATTTTTTAATATTTATTTTTTAGTTTTCAGTGGACACAACATCTTTATTTTATTTTTATGTGGTGCTGAGGATTGAACCCAGCGCCCTGCGCATGCCAGGTGAGCACGCTACCGCTTGAGCCACATCCCCAGCCCCAATGTGATGTTTTGATATGTTTGTATATATAAATATGTTCCACATATAAAATAGATATGGGCACCTAGATTGCTTCCATAGCTTAACTGTTGCAAATAGTACTGCAGTGAACATGGAAGCACAAATATGTCTTTGCATGCTGATTTAAATTCCTTTGGATATGTATCTGGATCATAACATAATACTGCATATTAGTCTCAGAAAATAGATTTGCTCCATCTGTAGTTTATAGGTTAGCAGAATTTTTTCATGCAATTTCATATGCTTTTTTCTGACCTTTTTTTTTTTTTTTTGGTCACTGATTCCCCCCGCCCCCCCACAAAGAAACTGTTGCCCCCACTAGATACAAAGACACAGAAGCCCAGAAATACCATGATAGTTGCCTGTGATCCACTCCAGGGAGTGAGTATGTACATGTGTGTGCATGTATCTGTGGATCTTATATTTAGGTGTGGGCAAATCTAGTGGCTAGACCAGCAATTTTGAAATTCGGCTATATAAAATACAGTTCTGTTAGTAGGATGCTGTGTTCAGGCTTAATTTCAGTGAGTGTTGAGTATGTCATGACTGCATGAAAATCTGGTTGGTACTTTTCTGGGAGGTAAAAATACAGGCCACTTGGCCTGTGTTTCATGGGCAGGAAACCATCCTCACTTTTGGCCTTTCTCAGAAATGTGTAGTGTGTGACTGGGTCAATAAAATGTTTATCTCTACAGAATGATACGATAGTATTTTAACATGTGTGACCTTAATACAATCTTAGTGTAATAAATTTAAAATATTTTCTCC